GTATTTATTTAAACTTTGCAAAGCTATTATAGGTATTGTTGAAGGTTTCACAGTTGCCTATATACATTATACATTGCTAAGTATTTCTATTTTTACTTTCACGATTGTGAATTTAGCAATTAATCATTACATAATTGAACAATTTTCAGTTTTTAAATCTATAATTACGGTGGGCACCAATAATGAATTTATTTCTATGGAAGATAATTTGAGTTAGTTAATTAGTGACCAATGTAATACGGTAATTAAATGCAAATACACTATTGACATGGGAAAGAAGGCTTGTACAAATATTTTCAACTGTGCAATGTTTCAATTTCACAATGTTTGTCAATTAGTGTACCGAGCTCACTACAGCTATGCTATGCCAATAGCGGAAATAGAATTATGGTTACAATCATAGTCTCATTTATTCCTCAGTTTTAAATAAAATTAAACTTGACCACTTGATAAGAAAAAATAACCAGCTATCATCGACATGTCCTTTATAAAAATTCAATCTTGACTGAAATAGCTGCCATAGTTGTAGCATAATATGGTATTGCAATATTATACATCATACTTGGTATATTCTCCATGATCCATTTCGACCACGTTATTGCAATCTACTCTATGTCAATAGATCAATTTAGTTCATTTAATCTCCCAGACACTGTCAATCATAAATCCATTCTAATGGCATATCTATCAAAGGACTAAAATCATCGAGGAATAATCGAATACCAGCTATGGACGATAGATTCTAAACAGAATCTCCAATTAACTTAAGTGTACAGTTTTACATTCAGACATGCTCTCGAATCCATTTTTATTTTTTTGTCTAAAATGTTTCTGTTCCTTTAAAATCTAAATACAGTAAACTAAAGACCAAAGTGATTTCGTGATTGACTTTCTCTCGGACATTATTGTTCGTTGCCAACTTTATTACTCTAGATTTGAACAAATGATGATTCTTCCATCAATGGCTGTGACGGGGAAAAACATTTTTATTATTAGACAATAATAAAGATATGCAATAAGTATATTACTTCCGCATTTTCTGCATTGAAATCCGATTAAAGTAATTGTAATCGGAAAGGAAAGAATTGTCTCGACTATTATCTAGATTGAATATAAATGCACAATTAGATTAATTAAAAATGCCATTCGCCGTCGGGGAATAAAACATTGTCGATAGAATGATAATTGCGATATCTCATAATGTCGGTCTTAAAGTGCGATAGTAATAATTATTCTCTACTATAATTATAATTGATTCCTATAAATGATTGAGTAAATGCGCTTTTGATATCTATAGAAAAAGTTTGTGCTCTAGTGAAAGCGTCAATGAAATTAACTGAGAAAAGGAGTAATTTGTTTTCAAGCAATATTATTCATTGCTTGAGAGATTGAAGGTGAAAAATTTTCACCACTTTCAGTTTGTTATTACGATCCAAGAAAGAAAAGTCTTGTATTAAAACAGAGCAATCACCATCTCAGTCCCCATATTTTTAATGGGAAATTCAGCAAATAAATCAGAGATTGGCGAAGAAATAGAATTTTTATGTCGGGCGGGCCAAAGTTGTTTTACTCATGGAGATTATCGACAAGCTCGAAAATATTATCGACGAGCTCTTTCCCACCATCAACATTTACCCGCGCGCACAAATGATTCCAATCAAGTACAGTTGGAAATTTACCTTCAGATTGCTGATACTTACATAAAGGAATGTAAACACAAGAAAGTCAATCAAGTATGTCAAAAAATTTCCAAAATTGCCCAAAAGTTGACGGACGATCTAGGACTTGCTCGAATTCTAGACAGACAAGGTGAAAGCAAGAGATTACAGGGGCAATTCGACTTAGCAATAGAAGATTTCGGCCAGTCTCTGAAAATGAAGAAGGAAATACTACAAAATGAAGACAATCTTGAAATTTCTACCTCGTATTTCCTTCTTGGTTGTCTCTATTACGATCAAGATGCCTATGACAATGCCCTTATAATGTATCAAAAAGCTTTACCTATTAAATTAAGCAAACTCGGAGAGAATCATGCCGATGTTGCCGAAATTTATCAGAAAATGGGAAACGTTTATTTTCAGCAATCAAAGTACGATGATGCTCTCCTCATGTATCAAAAAAAGATCGATATTGGAGTGGAAATTTTTGGAGAAAAACACGACAGTGTAGCTCATTCATACTATAATATCGGGCTAGTTTACGATAATCAATCAATGTATGATAAAGCTATTTCAATGTATGAAAAAGCGTTAAGTATTCAATCGGAACGAGCAAGTGAGAATCCTCTCGATATTGCCAATTCTTACCACAATATAGGAATAGCCTATCGTCATCAAGGCCAATATGAACTTGCTCTGTCTATGCATCAAAAGGCGCTCAATATCCGACTTAAATTACAAGAATGCCAACATTCCAATGTTGCTCAGTTATACCATGATATGGGAGATATCCATTGTCGTCAATTTGCCTATAAAGAAGCTCTCTCCATGTTTGGCAAAGCTCTAAAAATTCGTCTCAAACTATACGGAGAAAATCATCTAGAGGTGGCTCATTCATACACTAGTATCGGTGACATCTATCGTCACCAATATAATTGCGATAAAGCTTTCTTCATGTATGAAAATTCCCTAAAGATTCAACTGAAAGTAAACGGAGACAAGCTTGCCGATGTTGCTCAGTTATACAATAATTTAGGATTAGTATTATCTTACCAAAATCGCGTTGACGATGCTCTGATTATGTACAATAAAGCACTCGATATCTATCTAAACTTATACACCGAGAATCATACGATCGTTGGAATAGTCTATCAGAATATGTCCAATGCCTACGAGAAACAGCAAAAAGATGACGAAGCTTCAATGATGAGGCAAAAGTCGTTTAACATCGCCAAACGATTACAACAGGAAGATCCTAACATTCTACCAGACGCATTGACGGAAGGGCCATCACCAGGTACTACTGAATTAAATCATAAAGTAAATACACTATTTTCCACTTGGATTTTTGCCGAGTTATGGTCATATCTAGGTGAGTATCTTAGATGATGGCCCTTAATTGGTGAAATTAAGATATTCTCAAATGATTTTTAATCATTTACTCCTTAAGCTGTAAAATGTGGCAATAATAGTCATTTCCTAAGTTGGATCTTAATTTTCCCGGCAAGTGATTTTAAAAAAATAAATTTTGCGATGGACGCGTAGAACACCAATAGATTGATATCATCATGAGCCATCAAAGATGAATATCAGTTTATACAGCTAATTTTCCTCAATTTAGACTTAAAAATTTTAAATTGAGTCTTCATTTATTGAGCTCAACTTCCTTAGTTTACGGTGGTAAAATTGAAACTGGACATTAGTTTGTAGAGCTCTATTTCCTTCATTTGCACTTGTAAAATTTGAAATAGACATCGGTTTACTGAGCTCATTTTCCTTTATTTACACCTCTAAACTTTCAACTGGACTTTATTGCGCCAAACTTCCTTGATTTATGCGTCTAAAATTGGACTTGCCGGCTTTCATCATATGAAAAAAAAATTATTAGGCTGTCAACATTACCTCTACTGTAACATAATTGAAGTCTTTTCTCAAGGTATCTACTTGATAAAGTCGTAGTATCGTGTATTCCTTTAAATTCTTCTGTTACAGATCGAACTATTTTACAAGTTAATTATAAATGATGGCAAGTAAACAACTTATAGAGTTAAACTGTACTTACCATTTAATTGTAAAAGAATGAGAAGAATGACAAGTTCTTATAGTATCCTTTTACAGACATAAGCAGTTCTTTTAGCAAAATATTATTAAGTACTGTAATGTGTAACAATCTTGAAGACATTTACTACAGAATAGCCTTGGTAAGACCATAATCTTGGCAAAAAATTGGTAGAACTATTTTATAGCAACCAAGTAGTAATTTTGGATAGAATAGCCATCATCGTTAGCCTAGTACCATATAGCAGGACGAAATAAGAGTTGAACTACCGTGTTCTTTGGCAGTCATAATGAAATTGTTTGATATAATATCTAAGGAATTGTTTTAGCTATAATACTATATTTGTTCAGCTATTCTGTGGCAATTAAGAAAAAATGTTTAAGAGAATAGTCTTCATTATTATCTACGTAAACAAGAGTTCAACTATTTCAAATGAATTATGTAGCAATTCATTCAATAGTTTTAGTACAACATTAGCTCAAATATTTTGTAGCCATCATTAAGAAATTATAGATAGAGCAGCCGTTGTCATTCTTTAAAATGGCGAATCGCAGTGGATAACACCACATAGGATTCATCCGTTGTACCATATAATGATGAATTAGCCCATAGCCATTTGTTATCACTACTGTTTACTTTGACCTATAGATAATTGCATTTTTGACAATTTTGCCATTCAAAATCCAAATCCAAATGGTCCTTTATAGCAGATAGTTTGAGCTTATTTTTAATTTCATTTCTTCCTGAACAACAAAAATCCACATAAATCCCTCAAAGGAAACATTTTACTCATCTGACATGCTCTAGAATCAGGAAAGGCCTATTTTCAGTCGATAGTAATTTAACTAGCAAATATCAAAAGTATCATCAGCAACATAGTCATAATAACATCCTAACGTATGATTAATTCAGGATGACGAATAGTCAACATATAGCCCACCGAGAGAACCAGCAATGTCTTTTTCGTATCATTTTCACTTTAAATTGATTTTTAGTGATCATTTGAGGCTGTTTACTATTGAAATTTGACTCTTTTAAACCGCTAGTAATACAATCACGATAGGAAAGGCTTACAATTACTAGAGCAAAACAAATAACCTCATTTCATATTCCATTTTAACCATGTTTCGCTTCATTTATGCAGAATAAACAAAGGAAAAAAATGATTGCCGCTCCTGTAGCAATAAAATTATATGGGTAAAATACCAATATATCAAGATCAATGAACTTCTGCTGCCGGTTGGATGCGTAGATCAAAGCGTAAAATCTTCCTGCTAAAATAAAATCACAAAAGAATCGATATAAAGCCAAAGCCGCCATGATGCCCTTGCTTCATACGCCATATTACAATAGCAGCTGCCATTTGAATCATTTTTATTTCAAATTATCTTCTCTTCCTGATACTTCTTTAAGAACAATCTTCTTTAAAATTTATAAAAAGTTTAGAACTTATATTATTAATGACATCGTCGCAAAACACATTCATGCCAATATTTCGCGAAAGGCAAGGTACAAATAGAGCTAAAGTTTCGTAAAGCAGAAAACAATATTACTCTGTTTAACTTGTCTAGAAATCATTACGTTATCATATCCATATAACTTATTTTATTTTTGTGTCCAAAATGACAAAGTTTTAAAAGTTCTGTTATAAAATGTTATTGTGTTAGCTGTATATTTGTATTATTTGATCTAGTTAATGAATACTAAAATTAAAATTGAAACAAAATCCTTTCATTCTAGCGAACCATTTTAAGTCAGTAAACCTTGTAACAAATCTTGAACTTGCTCATCCATTTCGAAATGATACGCCAAATAATTTAAAGTCTCTATTTTAAAGCATTTCATGCTTTCAAGTCTATAAGTTATGATATACAATTTCATTTAATTAAATGATTCCGTTTGGCTTCATGCTGTCCATTTTTGTCATTTGTCAAAACTGCTTCAGTTTCATGACAGATGGAACGAGCAGTCTAAATTGCTGTTTGTGGCAACCTAATAAATCCATATTAAATGATAGTGTGCAGTTGCATTTCTTTTTGGAAACTCTCATCTGAGAATTATTCCTAAACGATGTTGTAGCAGTTTCCATGTTATAAATGCAGTAATTTCTATAATTTTCTTCACGTAAGATTTCTCCACATTGCCAACATCATGACTGTTTGGGTCGTGGAGGTAAAAGAAAGGCCTTTACCTCTATGGTGTAGATGATGTAACTACTCTTTTTATCAGACTATAGCGTCAGTTGTAATTTTTAATTTGTCCGAAATATTTACGTACTTGGGAAAGTAAAGAAATATTTTATGTAAGCTACTGTAATTTAAAGATAGATATTTTAAATGATAGCTGTGTTCTTAATTAGAAAAATGACTAATAGCTTTATTTCATTAGTATGAAGCTATTTTGTTTCTTGACCAAGAACAGAAGGGTCAGTACTTTTCTCCACTCGGATCGAGAAGCAGCATGTTACTAATAAATTGGCGTTTTGGGAGATTTAGACACGGTGAAAGTAAGGTAGCATTGCTATTTATTCCATGATAAAGCTAGAGGATTTGTTCCCACCAAGGAAAGTTAGAGTCTATCCTTGGTGCCTGATTTTTAATTCCAACGATATGTCTCTAACAATTTTTGCTACAATAGTAAACAATTTTATCGAATCAATCAATGACCCAATTTTTAAAGTTCAAGCTGACTCTGAACAAAAAAAAGCAAATGGCATAAATTAGGAAGACATTAATTATAGAGTAGCTAGCAAAAGACTTATTGAACAGCAGTTATAGTAAGTTGAGATCATTTCATTTTAAGTAGATCTTAAATACGAGTACATTCGTGGTGGGGATTGTGCGGTAGTTGAAACGCTTAATTTAATTATCTTTTCTTTCAGTCGTTTAATAATCATTTTGTTATTACACCATAAGTTCCAATTCTGATACAAACTAATGATTAATTCATTATAGCCATCTGGCTTTCTCATGCAGCAGACTAATATCCAATTTTCTCGCAGCCTACTCTGAGTTTAGCTTATTTACATTTCTTCATCGCTTGTCTTCAATTTGAAGCGGGTGATTGTACAATATGGCGAATCAATTTTTCAGTTTTATCTTTTGTCTGATCGTTATGCACCAAATTGAAGCCGCTCGAAATACGATACTCATTTCAACATCGAGAGGTCCAATTCGCGGCAATGTTGTATACGGTGCTAAAGGTAAATTTTCCTACGAATTTTTAGGTATTCCATACGCGCAACCACCAATCAATAAATTACGATTTAAGCCTCCAGTACCTTATTCTGAAGAATGGATGAATCCCTTCGAAGCAACTACTTCGCCAGCATTATGTCCTCAACGATCAAAACCATTTTCTTCTTCATCAGGGTTGTCAACTCAGAACGAAGATTGCTTATACTTGAGTATTTACACTCCTGAGATTAATACGTCTACGTTGTTACCAGTTTTGATTTGGCTAGGTGATGTTTATAACGACTACACGCATCCATCGTGGCGATCAAGCCGTCGGCTAGTACAAGAAGAAGAGATTATCGTTATAACAGTGAGTTATAGACGTGGTATATTTGGCTTTCTGCCTACCATTGGCAAAAAAGACGGCACAGGTGATGATGAACTAGTCTATAATCTCGCTCTTTTAGATCAACAAATGGCTTTAAATTGGATCTTTCACACTATTCGTGATTTCGGTGGTAATACGGAGAAAATAACTTTAGGCGGATATGATCATGGTTCAGCTATGACAATGCTTCATTTACTCTCTCCGAACAGTAGAGGATTATTCCAGCAATGTTTACTACAAAGTGGTACACCGCTTAATGAAAATGGTTTTCACTATATTGAAGAAGATAGAATGCTAGATATGGTATTACGCATGGCAAATTCAACCGGACGCTCTGCTGTAAATGATTCTATCACTGAGACGATGAATGAGATTTTAGTTCAATTTCAGAATATGACCATGCGATCATTGTTAAAAATGGAAGATCAGCTAGTAAAAGAGAACCCAAGTTGGCAGTTTTTACCTGTCATCGATGGTCGCAGTATTCCAGATAAAGCGGATAAAATGATACAGCAGGGGCGATTTTATAAAGCAAATATTATGATTGGTTTATCTCAAGATTCTCACCTTGCACTTGCTGTCACAAATCATAGTAATAAATCCAAACATGAAAGTGATGATAGCGATGATTTCACTCAACATCTTTCACGTTATATAGATCCATCTTCACCATTTAAACCTTTGATAGCTCATGCATACGGCCGCTATACAGATAAACACGGGAAAGCACCTATGCAAACTTCTATAACGTACTTAAATACCGATAGGAATATACTCCTTCCGGCAGTGTTTTGCGCAAATCATTTTGCCAATTTTGGTTTATCGACTTACTTTTATATTTTAGATCATCTAGTTGATAGTTCGCTTGGTGATGATACATCTCCCAACTCCGATATTCCATTTGAAATGGTGTATTTATTTGGTAACCCGGTTAATTACTTTAAGCGAGTGCCGGTCCTAAATCAATATAGTCCTACACTTTTACATCAGAGCATTAAGTATTGGAGTGAATTTATACGTTCAGGGTAATGGATTGGATACATGTTAGATGATGATGAATTAAATTGTAAACTAGAAATACTCCTATTTTTATATTCTGGTATCATCATGAACTGCTAGATATATTTAGTCGTCCATGGTATCTGCAATAATTGAACTGTGTAGTATGATAATATCTTTTTTATTTTACAGTAAGCCTAATAACGAAATAGCACACTGGCCGAGGTATGAGGATTCAAAACAGCCAATTTTGGTCATTTCTGGGATTAATTCAAGTATCCACCATGGTTACAGAATAAAATTTGTTCATCTTTGGAATAAATTGTTGCCACAAATTTCTGATCAATTGGAACAACTTGTAGAACCAAAGAAAGAGGCTGCACCTGACCTGGTACTAGCTTCCCAAGAAATAGATGAAGCAGAACAAGAAGCTGCTTCAGAAAATGGCCACTATTCCTATTGGACTCGAATCCTGCTTATTTTTATGGTATATATAATATGGAATATGATTAGCACAGGCGTCGACATTCGTAATGCCAATCCAGAGAAACGTCCATATCGAAGACTTCGCTCAAAACACCAGTTTTAGAGTTAGCATATGCAAGAAAATAAACAAAGTCGTCTTTACAGAATTATGTCCAAGTATCGCTTATTGTACGGCAGTTATTGCTCGTCTTAATTGTTTGTCAACAAAGTAGTTTTGTTACTCGTGCATCATCAGCACAAATATATTTCGGGTTACTTTTTTCGTGATAATCACCACTTTTGTCTTTCAGTACAATCAATTGCACCTATTCTACAGCAGAATTTCTACCTTTAAGCAAAATATATTACGCATACCAGGCTGTCACTCCGTGAAATGTCCTCTCTTTAGCAGTCTGGAAGAACGCATAATAGTATCTAACTCCTAATGGCGATTCCATCGAGGAAATTTTAGCGTTATGTTCTGTTAAACCAGCAGCGTTAATAAAGCAACGATCAAAGATGATTGTATCACGAACAGTCATTGATATAGTTAATTATTGAACTTTTGACGATAACAGGCGGGCAGTTATTAGACATATCTCTGCGATTGTACCTTGAAACTGTTAACAGTAGTGTATTGAAGATAACATCGTTAATAAGGCATCGGTCCAGGATGATTGCATTCACCCTCCGGAATTGATATTAGCTATTCCCCTTAAGTTGATGACAGACCGATAGTGGGCATCGACTTTACACTAAGCAACGAATACAATTTGCTGATAGCATCGTTTATAAGAAAGATTGATTCGTCTATAATATCTTGTATATATTAACTCTACCAAGTTATTCAATTGATGATTGATAGTGTCCCTCAGCAGTTTGATATCGGATCCATTTATCATCAACCCTTTTCTTTAGAAATGTAACTTTACTAAACTATTCAATTGAATGTTGAAGTGTCCCTCAGCAGTTTGATATCGGATCCATTTATCATCAGCCCTTTACTTCAGAAATAATAACTTTACTAAACTATTCAATTGATGGATGAAAGTATCCCTCAGCAGTTTGATATCGGATCCATTTATCATCAGCCCTTTTCTTCAGAAATAATACCTACTAAACTATTCAATTGATGGATGAAAGCATCCCTCAGCAGTTTGATATCGGATCCATTTATCATCAATCCTTTTCTTCAGAAATATTACCTACTAAACTATTCAATTGATGGATGAAAGTATCCCTCAGCAGTTTGATATCGAATCCATTTATCATCAATCCTTTTCTTCAGAAATGTAACTTTACTAAACTATTCGATCGATGGATGAAAGTATCCCTCAGCAGCTTAATATCGGATGCATTTATCATCAATCCTTTTCTTCAGAAATGTAACTTTACTAAACTATTCAATCGATGGATAAAAGTCTCCCTCAGCAGTTTGATATCGGACCCATTTATCATTAACATTTTTCTTCAGAAATATAACTTTACTATACTATTCAATTAATGGTTGAAAGTCTTCCTCAGCAGTTTGATATCGGATCCATTTATCATCATATCCTTCAGAATCCGATCGAAATCATACAGATCGATTTTGCAGGGCTTCATTTGCAATATGTGAGGCACATACTGTCCGAATGCTATTTAGCTCAAGAAAGCGATAAAATGATTATTTATAAAGTCTAGTTGAAGATAACTGCCAGTAGTTTAATTTATAGTCTGTTGATCATAAAGAGTTGTTGTAAAGTCGTATGGCAAGTACGCAATCCGACTTCGCGCAACTCAACTTGCGACATATAAGTATTTTACGAGTCATTCCATACTTTTAAAAGCCCGTCTTGCTTGGTCAGAGAAAGTAGCGTGACTGTTACGGTCAGAAGTGATGCACATCAACTCAATTTTGACAGTCTCTTTATCATCAACAGTAACTGTTCAATTCAATTCAAACTATATCAATTGATAGAGTCCATCTCCATTTGGAACATGCAAGCATCGATACAATGTTGCCATGGCATTCGTTGCCAGTATGTGCTAAGTTAGAGGTGCACGTATGCCTTAACCACATTCAAAAGCAAGTTTAGGGTAGCAAATTTAGCAATACAGCCTAATGCTAGCAATCTTTCGGGCCATTTTTATGGCCAATTTTGACTCTATTTCCACTCTGGCCATATTGATTTTAATTTTTGCCATTGATTGACAACTACTGGAAAGTGCGTCCATTTCTATTCGCCTCTCCACTAAGCGCCATACAGATCCATCATGGCTGTCATAGCTTACTATCGCGTCTGTTTCTTGCAATTTACTCACTCGCTCGCTGGTCTACCTGGCACTTTTGGTGTAGATTTGCAATTTTCAAAATCGATACTACTACTGTATGGTATTTCACGGCTGTCTTAGACGCTACAGCACACTGGACATCAGAGGTGCATTGGAAATGTGCAACTGCGCAGTTGCTTTCGAGCCCATACTACAGTGTACAGTACTACACTGTGTGGAGTGCACACTGTACACTGTACACTGTACGGTACTGTACGTGTAGTACGGGCCAGAGTCAGAACGAGTGGAAGATGAGAATCATCCACTGCAAACTTCCTAGTTAAAAGTCTTCTCGTTGACACTATCTTCCGATACTGTACTATACTGTATATAAGAGACCCTGTATCTCTTACTGAACACAGTATAACCTGAGCTGAAGGATCGTCAGCCGGTTGCTTAGCAAGATCTCTGCAGATTTTTCTGGCTTTCTTTTAGTAACAAAATCCGATGTAAGTTCTGGCCTGCTGCAGTGAAATTGAATGCTATAGCATAAGAATAATGTCCGCTCGAGCTAAAGTTGTTCTCGGATTATCTTGCCTATTCTCTGTTGGGATAGTAACAGGAGTCTATCTAAGCCAGAAGGAAGATAGAAAGGTATTGATCGTGATCATTGATCAAGGATAGGTGTGGTAGCAGTTGCATCAGACAATTGTCAATCGTCTCATCAATGACTTGAGGAAATATTCGATCAATAGATGAGTTAAGAATGATATAGTAATTATTTCCTTACATTGTATCTGATTATGATATTGATATTGGGTATTTTGAACCTTGGTTATGCTCGATACTGCGGGTGTTGTTGTCGCTATACGTGTCGATTTAGAAGATGTGATCACATGCGTTGTTGCACGTTTTAATGTTTGCTATGCTGGTTACTGCCGACATGGTTGTCGTTATAAGCATTAATTTATTAAAGATAATGACCACATGGATTGTTTGACTGCGCCTTATAAAATACATCCGTAATAATGGATACATTTTTACAGTCATAGAAGTAATTCAAAGATAGGGTTGATGTTAAGGTATAGAATTTAGAGTAGATAACATGGCACAAATTTAAATCGGAGAATAGATTAATGAATTATATAATAAAGTATCTGCTTTAGTATACAATCCAAATATTCAACTCGTAATTTTACCCAGACCTTCCTTGTTCGATAGTTTGTAATTATAGTATCTCTCTGTTTTGACCTTACGAATTATTCTCTCATCTGTTAGAGGCTAAGAGTAGGTGTTGAACGTGATTTGGAAAGACAGCGTAAGAAATTGCAAAATAAAAAGGAACTTGAAGAGCAACTCAGACTGCATGAAGAGCTTTTGAAGAAGGAGAGCAGTCGTCTTGCTAGCAATGAAAATTAACCATTGCACTGCTATTGCTTGTGCTAATACTATTAATCAAGGTTTTATCTTTTTAGTTTATCAGTTGTCTGTTTTCAACTGTTAAACTAATTTACTGTTTTATATTAATTAATCAGTGTACGCTGAAACAATGGTGGAACCTGAATCGCCAATTTAATCCTGCTTGCAAATGCGCCATCATCTGAGAATGCCAAGGCTTTATTTAGCATAAAGCTCACAAGTTAATCATTAAACAGATTGATAGCCCTGTCTATTGAAATCCATTGGCCACATCACTATTACGAAGTGTTACAAGCGTAACTGCTTACTGACATTTGGTATTATGACCGAATTCTCTCAAAGATTCTCATCAAAAATTTTATCCTAATGGTATCCAAAATTCAATTTTGGTACAGTTATCTAGTACCGTGACCGAGACTAGTACAGTACATTTTATTTTATGTAGCAGCTATATTCAATTTATGGAAAGGCTGCCACAGAAATATTTTGCAATTTTTTATTCCCGGCATTTGTTGGTACTAATGTACTGTAATAATTATAATTATTAAAGTATCCTACTGTTTTACAGTACACGTAAGCATCGCTTATGCTGTAAAAACTGAAATCGTGTTTCACAAAATTCAACGAAATGACCATATGAATGATAACAAATTGTTCTATATCCAGTATATAGAATGCTACTCGAAGCAGTAAATTATGTAGATATATGACTCTAAATAAATATGAATGGATCATTGTTGTACGTATTCCATGTCTTTCTGATCTTGGGTGATGTCAATACAAATTGAATACTTTCTTAGGCTTGAATCGCCATTTGAAAGTAAAATGTCTCGGTCTCATCGAGCAACGTCCTACTATAGCATGCTGTCTCCATTTCAATTACTTGACAGTGGATTTGTCGTATTGTCATAGAATGCCGTTAACGGTTGAACTTTCATTACGGTTTATTTCCTTCATTGTAGTTAAATTGTCAAAATTGGTATAATTATCGAACCACATAGTTACTAGTAGTCCGGTATTAATGTTATATACTATGACAGCAAAGAAACGGCAAGAAATTAAATGTAGCAGACGTAGCATTGCATAGAGTGATACACATAATCTCTAAAGCCGCTACTATGAACCTAATCCACTAACAAGTTATACGGCTTAGAAATTTAATCTTCGTGATAGTCGCATAAAATGTTAAAAGGCGAAAATCAGTATTTTGTACAGTAAAAATAAGAAATCAGTGTGTTGTAGAAATCAATCACTTTACGTACAAGTTAAAACTATAAACGCATCATAAGTTATTTTCTATTAACAATGAACTTCGGGAATCTACAAAGATAATAATGAGTTAGTGACTGGCTGATAACAGGATAGGATCGAACACTATCAATCTATTGCTTGCAATTGTTGATAGAATATTTCTTATCCTATTTTAAATTATTTTAGCTCCATGAACAGGCATGTTCTCAAATGATCTAAACATTATTGCTTTGTCAATTCGCAAAGTAAAATTCTTTACAGCTTACATACAGTATCGTTCCGCAATTATATTTTTTATAAGGTTCTATGTTATATCATCGGTATGATACAACGTTCAAACAAGTCAAGAAATAATGATACTTGAATACAGTTGTTAGTCTTGTTGATGTGCTGTCGATGACGAAGATATCGAATAACACCAATGGTTAATACCTTCATTCGCTCAAGGTAATATTGCCGAAAGACGATTCAAGCTATCCGTCTCATCAGATTATACAGGTAAAACCTTTTTTGAATATTGAGGTCAACATTCAGCTAACTAATCAATTGCTTGGGATACTATAGTGTTGGCTTCTTTACTTGAGCAGTCATACTGGTCTAGATAATGATTGATTCCTTGAGAGGAACATGGCATAATCACTATACTGTTATCACTTATCACACACGCGCATAACTTTTCGTGCAAATTTCTATCTTTGGTGCATTATATCATCCAGTCCAATTTGTACACAACATTTGGATGTAGATAAAATGTGCTGTAATCATCGCGTTAAATTATTACAGTAGCCTGTTGCTGGGACATTTAAATTGAATTATTATCTTAATCGCCGACTGCACTATTGATCACTTTTCCTTAATAACGTATTATAATTTATAATTTAAAATAGCATACACATACACGAATACTTTATCGTATCAAATTTACTAAATTAGGATTCTCCCATTTTAGATAACATCCATTAAAAAGTTCATTTCGTGAGTCAGCCAAATTGATATTCTACAATTCCTGCAATCCAAAATAATTAATTGTCATTATCGAGGTATACCTGTTGAGAATAACTATCGCTTTCAGCAAATCATGTCCATTATGGCAATAATCCTATCGCCGTGACGTAAGGTTAGCCAATCATGCAACTATTTACCTCTTTTCCGGTTAACTGGGACAAAGTTTTCTCGACAAGTAATTGCCTGGGAAATAAATATTCAAATTACCGACGTGAGAATGATGTCAATTCAAACGCATCTTGTAACCTCGAAATTTTGAAAGCTTTGACAATGACGTCACTACTGAGCTTACTTGCATTCGATGCCACCTCCAGGAGGTAGGCGCAGAGAATCGTCTTGGGATAATTCTGTCATCACCTGGTACAAGTTGCAATTGGAGCCAAGTCTGTTATGTATATCTATTCGATAAGAAAAAAAATCAGCACGCTTGCTAAATCAATTAATAGGCTAGCGAAACAATACACTGAAGGCACACAATGTAATTTACGACGTTTTAGGCTATCCTAACTTTTAGTACACTACTTCCGTTGAAAATCAAGGCTAAAAAAGGCCTTTTAACAACAGCCGCCCTACTTATCAGTGCTTAGTTGGACAATGATGATAATTTACCTGTTACTTCTTTTACTATCTTCCTGTCAAGTTCTTGCTCCTAATGTAAAAAGTAGCGAGTAGAACATCGACGCTTTTAACATAACGAGTTAACTTTTCGTTGATTAGCAAATAATAGACGACTAGAAATGCAGCGTTCACTAAAGAATTAAAACTGTACTAAACTAGGTTGCGTTCATCGTATACAAATAATCTTGCTTTGCTAGCAACACGCGGCTTAAAGTGTTCAAAGTCACCCTTGTGCTAGTACAGTCACTGATGATATCATAGAATAGCACGTTGCTTTGAATGCCTTTGATGGTACGGTACATTGATACGACGAATAGAGATTTAATCCAAGTAGTCTAGCATTTTTTTTCTCTACACTGGAAGCATTGTTAACATTATTCGATTGTAACATGTCAGATAAAACTGTTATCGTTGGTGATCATCCTCTTAAGTAAGAAACACTACTCATTCAAATTGTTATTGCAGTTAGCTCATTCTAGTTTATCAAGGGTCGTTTATCAGCGCAAAGCTAAGTGCTTACCATTAATTTAGCATTTTCGTCCACAGTTATAGCACCATCAAAGGTAATGAGTATGATACTCATATTGTCCTTGCTACCCTGAATACGAGAAATAAAATGAAAAGCAATCAGTTAATAAATCAGTAGATATGTCATGCTTCTATCAAATCTATTTTGAAGCAACTGCTTTTGTAGGCGTGGATACGCGTAGTAAGATCAATTGCAGTCATTCATTCCTTCATTTCTCAAAAGTGAGAATCATAAGAAACAAACTCAATTGCAAGATAATAAGATCAAGTTGATCAAATTCAACCCATTCATGGCGCCTACAATGTGGCGAAGCGATCGATGAGTCGGTGGTACACATAGAAAAGAATTTGCTACAATAGTTATTGATATTTTGTAACTCCAGTTTGCCCATCATTCAAATCAGGTGATCCATGGCTACCTCGTGTACATGGACGAGGCTTTCATGGCAAAACTTCAATCCAATCTTGTAGCGTATTTTCGCTATGAACCATATCCTATCTGAGCGGCCTATCGTTCTATTCTACATAGGATTATTGACGCTCAAGTGTGGCATACATTATACAGTACTGTATAAAGGCATGTTACGGTACTGAGTTTAATGATACACACCCACGATTCCACATTACGTCCACCAAAGCAGTTACTTTATCCTCTACGCACAGGCAACTTGATGCCCTAGAGCAGCCTACATCCTATCTCCTCACTGATTTGTTATAAGGTTATTACGTCGGTCAACAGCGACAAGTTTTTACAGTCGCGTAGAATAATCCCTATCCATTCATAATGTAATCCATCATCGTTTCGATGATAGAGACTTGCTCGCTTTCAAGAATGGAAAAGGGCCATGTCTAATGTTTATAATGTGCACTCGTGCCCCAAATCGTCTTTTCCATGACACCCTTGAAAAGGTTCGATCGCATCCTCCATTTCTACACTGCCTAAGTTAAGCCTTAACACTATCGGTTGATGAAACGTATTGTCGTCGAATAGTTGTAGCGCACTACAGTAAGGCTGTAAAGATTGATTGAATTGATCATCCCTTCGGGACCACTCGGAATCAGTAGAGTACAGTAGACAAGCTGAAAGTGCTGTTGGACGGTGATATCGAGATCCATCCATGATGGAGACTAATTGGGTTGAAAAAATGGGAAAACGGCCATGTTAATATTGTCTACGCGTGGACAAAATGATGTCTTGCATGACACTATTGCCTCTGTTTCTATACGGCCCAAGTGAAAGCCTGGACGTCTAGCTTGATGAACATACTGTCCCTAAATAGTGGTAGTCAACTGCAGTACTTAGGCTGTAAAGATTGATTGAATTACTGCTTTCTTAGCGACTATCGCCCTAACAGAACCGTCGACCAGCCTGAAACTGCCGTTGCAAGTAGTCTACTTGCAACGTTGCTACCTTAAAGTGGTCAGAAAACAGAATCCATTGTGCCCTAGTCTACTATACACTAGCGTCCAGACGTCGGCGTACAAAAGCGCTTAACTCCAGTAGTCTCCTGTACCATGGTACGGAAGATTTGCTGACGCATTGACGCAGTCATGTCCTTCAGAATAGTGCTTTACTATCATTTGTATGGGGGAAAGCAACCTGCATCGCGCATACTATAGTCCCATTGGAGGATGGAAAAAAAAAACCCCCTTCAAAAGGTTGAAAAATTGCACCAACGGCTGGCCATCCAGGATCATGTCGCTAGTTTATATCACTGTATTATAAGGTAATCCTATTGAGAAACATCTCCAAGGGGATGCTCGTGGGAGAAGCTGATCGAGCGATAGTAGGAGATGTGTTTCTACAGCGCTTGATGCTTGACGGTAAGTTGTTGAGTGGACAGGCCCGCTGCCGGACTCGATTTATTGACTAAAACTTGCTCAATGGGGTAAGTGGATGATGCAGGGAAGAGAAATCCATCCGCTGACAAGAGTGGAATGGTCCACCGTTATCCAATATGGCGACAACGGCCTTGAGTTGATCATCATTACACCCAGTGGATCAATGGGCGCGTTCCAATGAGGATATCATTTTGACTGTTGGAGTTTCAAATGAAAGGGAAAGTAGGGTTGAAAGTGCATTGGATAGGGTAGGAAGACAAGGTTGAAGATGGGCCAGCGGATGGAAATGGAAGGATAGGTGTACAAACTACAACAAGCTATTTTAGCTACAATGAAATTGTCAAGGAATGAAAAGCAATGCACAAACCTTTGCCAAGCACGTATTCAACACTTCATTACAGATTTCTTCCAAGTCATTGGTGATGGCCAAGCGTGATCGAACAAAATTGGCAACATCCGTATTATTCATGACGTCCCATATACCATCACATGCTAATACGATAAATTCGTCTTTGGGATCTCGAGCTATGGACATCACGTCGGGCTCTGGCGATACCAATTGATCGAGTTGTGACAATTCGCTATTACATTTGTACTCAAAATCGCCTAAAGCTCTGGATACTGCTAAGGAACCATTGACACGTTGTAAAACAACAGAGCCGCCGGCTCGTTCAATACGTTGCCTCTCTCGAGGTTTAAACGGTTTATGATCTTCAGTAGCGAAATTGACTTCATTACTACGGCATAATATCCCACGAGAATCGCCACAATTGCCAAAAATGATATGCGTTGGGGTTACAACAACGACCACAGCCGTAGTGCCACTTTTATCAATTCTTTCCGATTCGTTATAATTGGCATTATTTTGCTCTTGAAGAGTCCGTAAAGAATACAGTACCTCATCTAACTTTAAGAAACCAGTCCGTAAGCCACGTTGTAAACTTTCTACACTAAGACCATTCTTACTACTACCAGTATCGCTGGTGGTGCTAACATTGTCTTGACTGTCAGCAGTAGTAGAACTACTATGATGATCAACATTGGCCAAGACGTTGTCTAGTAAATTTTTAGCGCAATAGGCTGACGTTGCCGAACCGGCATGACCATCGAAAACACCCCAAAATGAAATTTCACGATTTTGGGGTAAACTGACAATCGCAGTATGGGCATCTTCCATACCCACTCTCCAGCCTTGCATGGCGGATAATCCGTAGTGTAAGCCATTCCCAAAGCCGCTGCTAGTGGTCTTTTCGACCCTTGCCTTATCCAAGAAGGCTCCCATCTTTCTTTCAACGAATTGGTGGTATTCTTACAGTACTGGCGTTGTCGTCAAATGTCTTTGCAATGGCTACCGTCTTCACTACAATGTCCTCCCAACGTTGCCAAGTCAACCACTGCGATCAATTGCTAATGTCGTCAGGAATGGTTGGCGTTTGAATAGCAGTAGTAAAGTGTCTGCAAGCTGTACAACTTCCAACAAATGTTAATTCTATCCTCAACCAATTCCAATTTTTCAACCAAATCGCCAACAGTCGATCCTTCAAGATTGGACAAAGACAATACAACCGACAAGGCCAAGAGAGCGACTGTAATACTGCAGACGCCACCGTAGTCCTTTTTGCCTACAGTCCATCATCCCCTACTGGACGCTTTGCGTTGTACTGCTGAATGGGTATGATGCTCGCCACTTTGACCGATGGATCCGCACATCGCGTTGGCCTTCTACAGTCCACCCCTTACAGTCTATACCGTGTATTGCAGTATATTGTACTGTAGCTTACAGTACAACGACTGGAAGCCCAACCTTGACTTACTGTGACGACACTACCGTCGTATCCGCTGGTTGTGTTCACGCTCAGCAGCAGTATCACCACGACAGGATGATCCATATTGGCCAAGACATTGTCGAGTCCATTTTGAGCGCAATATAGCCCATTGAGTGCAGGTGACGTAGGCTGTCGGCTGACGTTACAGTACACGGTCTACTGTACTCTGACTAGAATCCCAACCTTGATTCACTGTGAGTCATAGAGTGAAGAAAAAAACACTTGAACAGTATGCTGTGAGCCTGTGACTACAGTACTGTACTCAGTCTATTGCACTCTGACTAGAATCCTAACCTGATTCACTGTGAGTCATAGAGTGAAGAAAAAAACACTTGAACAGTATGCTGTGAGCCTGTGACTACAGTACTGTACTCAGTCTATTGCACTCTGACTAGAATCCTAACCTGATTCACTGTGAGTCATAGAGTGAAGAAAAAAACACTTGAACAGTATGCTGTGAGCCTGTGACTACAGTACTGTACTCAGTCTATTGCACTCTGACTAGAATCCTAACCTGATTCACTGTGAGTCATAGAGTGAAGAAAAAAACACTTGAACTGTATGCTGTAACTCTACTCTACTGTACTGCACTCAGTCTTCTGTACTCTGACTGGAAGCCCAAGCTTGACTGAGTGTGGCTCAATGAGTGAAGAAAAAACATTTCACTCTACAGTACCGTACTGTACACTCACTGAAGTGTACAGTACTCTGACTGTAAGCCCAAGCTTGACTCAGTGTGACTCATACTGTACAGTATATAGAGTGACGAAAAAAACACTTCACTCTACTGTACGCTGTGACTACAGTAATGTACTCAGTCTACTGTACTCTACTCTGACTGCAAGCCCAAGCATGACTCAGTGTAACAGAGTGACGGAAAAAACACTTCACTCTACGGTATGCTGTGACTACAGGTACTCAGTCTACTGTACTCTGACTGCAAGCTCAAGCTTGACTCAGTGTGACTCATACTGTAGAGTGAAGAAAAAAACACTTCACTCTACTGTATGCTGTGACTACAGTAATGTACTCAGTCTACTGTACTCTGACTGCAAGCCCAAGCTTGACTCAGTGTGACTCATAGAGTGACAAAAAAAACACTTCACTCTACTGTACAGTATGCTGTGACTACTACAGTAATGTACTCAGTCTACTGTACTCTGACTGCAAGCTCAAGCTTGACTCATACTGTAGAGTGAAGGAAAAAACACTTCACTCTACTGTATGCGGTGACTACAGTAATGTACTCAGTCTACTGTACTCTGACTGCAAGCCCAAGCTTGATTCAGTGTGACTCATACTGTACGGTGAAGGAAAAAACACTTCACTCTACAGTACTGTACTGTATGCTGTGACTACAGTAATATACTCAGTCTTCTGTACTGTACAGGCTGTTTCATAACATTTTGTCACTTTCGGGCCATATTTTTCTTTAAAAATACAGTAAAGCTATAATAGAATGATATATGAGGTTGATGGAGAGATTCTGAAATATCTGAATCTGGTAAAGTTAGAAAGTTAAACTTGCTCTTAAGTCCATAAATGATGAAAGTATCACTGACCGTTATATCCCCATTTATGAATGATCTACAGTACATATAAAGCAAGAATTACAATACTGTTCCCTTCTACAGTAGGCAGTAATGACGTAATGCATTTGAAGAGAGTCTGTCCTAAATTGTAAAAAGTGCGCAAATGTAACTAAATGGCGCATATTATTCGCCAAATTTGGGAGCTTTGAATGAAACTTTAAAGGTTTCTCGTATCGCCAGTTGCTATAATATCCTTCATGCCAATAGTAAAAATTGAGTTCAACATGCTCAAATTTAAAAGAAGATGTACAAATATGTTGTAAGTAAAATGTACACTGTACAGTAGTAACCAAACAAAGTTCTTAATTTAACAAAAAATTAAGGTTCAATTACACTACGATCAGGGTATCTTTCAATAAGATCTTTAACAATTGGCACGCGATCAGCCATCAGACTTTTGCGGCCAGTTGTTGGTCGACGACAAATGTTGCCGGTAGCCTGCCACTTCTTGTAATTGTACATGAATGTACCTCGATTAAGCTTGACTCAGTGTGACTCAGAGTGACGGAAAAAACACTTCACTCTACTGACTACAGTACAGTGAGTACAGTACTGTACTGTAATACTGAATCGCTGTGTACAGTACAGTACAGACTGAGTGCTATGACTCAACATTGGCATTGTCTAGTCCATTTTGAGCGCAATAGGCTTGGGTTACAGTACAATGTACTGTACTCTGAATGCAAGCCCAACCTTGACTCCCTGACAGTACAGTACTGTACACAGCACTGGAGTGTAGACTGTACACAGTCTACTGTCGACAATAGTCTCTTTCACACGCGTCACGTCGACAAACTGCAAACACAAGTTAGCCAACAAGGCCAAAGCAGAAGGTGTACTAATATCGTGCAGTATAGTAAACAAGATGAGCTCTATTTTCATGTTTTAACAGCTTTTACAACAGCAGTTTGCATCTTCAATTTCGGTTGTTACTCTTTGATTGGCCATAAGCGTACATGTCCACTTGTACAGTACACTTTACTAGACTTCGGCATTTTTGCAATTCTATTTTAGTATGCTGAAACGGCAGTAATGTACAGTATATACTGTATACACATTCCCGTCATGTTGCAATTCTACCGTACACTGTCGACTTTACAAGTCGACGTCAGCAGCATCCAATGTGCAGTATTGTCCACTCTGCCTGAGCCATTTCTTGCAATGCCTCAAGCCTGGGATTATGATCCATTTTATTCTACTCTTCTTCAACACAACTTGCTATATCGCCATGAATCATCAGAGTAGTCTTGCTAGTCCAAAGCATCGACTACTTTTGCTTGTAGTCCATGTCCAAATCAAGGTTCAATCTGCCGGAGAGATTCTTCGGCAAACCTCGCTTGGACTGTAGCATACAGTAGAATAGAGACGCATGAAGACGGAGGCACCGCCTGATCTCATGTCAGACAGACTTTGGATCAATCCTATTCGTGGAAACTAGTTCTTGTTTGCCCATGCCATGTTCATTACAGGCAATGGTATGGGTATGGCAAACAGTTGGACCGATCATCCCTTCCACGAGCTTTTTCGAAATAGAGTACCCTATGTAGGTAGTCCAGTCAGTCAATATTTCGATCAACGAATGGTTCACCGGTTACTTCTCTTCCATTTTTACAGTCGAGTATATTCTTTTGCCAATAAACGCGTAGGATAGGCTTGATTCGAAGCCAATCATCGCAACATTTCCCGGGTTAGGTAATCTTGTACAAACGAATTGGAAAATCAATCAAACGTTGCTGTTAGGAGATCATTTTTATTCTGTAATGGAAAAATAATAAAAAAGTGCAAAATGGAAAACGCCTGTCATTAATATCATTTGAATTCGATCAATACAATAATGGGCTCGAAAAGATACAGCAATAAATCCAACATGGCTGTCATAGCTATGAAATTGAATTTTCTTCCATAAACCTGACAAATGCTTATGTCAAGCAATAATTCAGAATTGAATAGTTCGAATCTAGCCAACGCCATGAATAACAAAGCTGTTGCGATCATGGCTGATGACACGATTTCAACAGGATGGAAGCGATTCAATGAATTAAATGGATATGCATTTCTGTTTAGAGTGTGCAGCATCATCAATAAGATGGAATAGAATCTGACGAAGTAACATACCATCCAATTTTCTATTTCGTATCGCATTTGTAATTTACATCGCTGTTCCGTTGTGAAAATAATGGGGAAAATGATGTCACTAATACTGTACACCTACACTTTGAAATCTTTCTAAACTAATCAGGATATAACAGTTTATGAAAGCATCACTCTATCTCTAGATTGATGCTCAGCATTTAATCTTGATAAACACGACGAGCTCAAAACTTGTAACTTTGACAGTTCTACTACTATCTTGCGATTGCATTTTACGTATGACTGAGATAATTATCACTGTCTTTACAAATTAGACTTACTGTACTTTATTGAGTAATGGTAGAGTTATTTTTGAATAGACGGAACTTATTATTTTGGGGATATTGCCATTACAACTGGTGCTGAGTGGACTCGATTGGCATTAAAATGAGATCCTAGAATTGTTACGATGAGTATTGTAAGCGAACGTAGAGCAGCGTTTGATTGATACATCCATTTTCCTTCGCGTTTGGCTTAATAAATAGGAGGTCAATGTGACCATGAAACGTTTAGAAATGGCAATAGAATACTTGAACAGGAGTGATGTACTTTGTATGCTGAATGACAGGAAATGATTATTGAAATGGTTTTTGGTATTCCATCAACACGATGTTTTAGTGCATTGTATCATACGATGGATTAGTATACTTTCCAATATGTCAATCGTATTGAGTGAGGGCCGTAGTGATCAAAGGCTAAAATTGGTTCAGTTTTTTTTTTGTACTGCTATACTC